ACTGGAGCATTTGAGACTGGAGCATTTTGAGACTGGAGCATTTTGAGACTGGAGCAATTTGAGACTGGAGCATTTTGAGACTGGAGCATTTTGAGATTGGAGCATTTTGCGACTGGCGCATTTTGCGACTGGAGCATTTTGCGAATGGAGCATTTTGAGACTGGAGCATTTTGAGACTGGAGCATTTTGCGAATGGAGCATTTTGAGACTGGAGCATTTTGAGACTGGAGCATTTTGCGACTGGCGCATTTTGAGACTGGAGCATTTTGAGACTGGAGCATTTTGAGACTGGAGCATTTTGCGACTGGAGCATTTTGCGACTGGAGCATTCTGCGACTGGAGCATTTTGAGACTGGAGCATTTTGCGAATGGAGCATTTTGAGACTGGAGCATTTGAGACTGGAGCATTTTGCGACTGGAGCATTTTGCGACTGGAGCATTTTGAGACTGGAGCATTTTGCGACTGGAGCATTTTGCGAATGGAGCATTTTGCGAATGGAGCATTTTGCGAATGGAGCATTTTGAGACTGGAGCATTTTGAGACTGGAGCATTTTGCGACTGGAGCATTTTGAGACTGGAGCATTTTGAGACTGGAGCATTTTGCGAATGGAGCATTTTGCGACTGGAGCATTTTGCGAATGGAGCATTTTGAGACTGGAGCATTTGAGACTGGAGCATTTTGCGACTGGAGCATTTTGCGAATGGAGCATTTTGAGACTGGAGCATTTTGCGAATGGAGCATTTTGCGAATGGAGCATTTTGCGAATGGAGCATTTTGAGACTGGAGCATTTTGCGAATGGAGCATTTTGAGACTGGAGCATTTTGCGAATGGAGCATTTTGCGACTGGAGCATTTTGAGACTGGAGCATTTTGCGAATGGAGCATTTTGCGACTGGAGCATTTTGCGAATGGAGCATTTTGAGACTGGAGCATTTTGCGAATGGAGCATTTTGAGACTGGAGCATTTGAGACTGGAGCATTTTGCGACTGGAGCATTTTGCGACTGGAGCATTTTGAGACTGGAGCATTTTGCGAATGGAGCATTTTGCGACTGGCGCATTTTGCGAATGGATCATTTTGCGAATGGAGCATTTTGCGAATGGAGCATTTTGCGAATGGAGCATTTTGAGACTGGAGCATTTTGAGACTGGAGCATTTTGAGACTGGAGCATTTTGAGACTGGAGCATTTTGCGACTGGAGCATTTTGCGACTGGAGCATTTTGCGAATGGAGCATTTTGCGAATGGAGCATTTTGCGAATGGAGCATTTTGCGAATGGAGCATTTTGAGACTGGAGCATTTTGAGACTGGAGCATTTTGAGACTGGAGCATTTTGAGACTGGAGCATTTTGAGACTGGAGCATTTTGCGACTGGAGCATTTTGCGAATGGAGCATTTTCAGACTGGAGCATTTTGAGACTGGAGCATTTTGCGACTGGCGCATTTTGAGACTGGAGCATTTTGAGACTGGAGCATTTTGCGAATGGAGCATTTTGCGAATGGAGCATTTTGTGAATGGAGCATTTTGAGACTGGAGCATTTTGCGAATGGAGCATTTTGCGAATGGAGCATTTTGAGACTGGAGCATTTTGAGACTGGAGCATTTTGAGACTGGAGCATTTTGAGACTGGAGCATTTTCGAATGGAGCATTTTGAGACTGGAGCATTTTGACTGGAGCATTTTGCGAGTGGAGCATTTTGCGAATGGAGCATTTTGAGACTGGAGCATTTTGCAACTGGAGCATTTTGAGACTGGAGCATTTTGCGAATGGAGCATTTTGAGACTGGAGCATTTTGAGACTGGAGCATTTTGAGACTGGAACATTTTGAGACTGGAGCATTTTCGAATGGAGCATTTTGAGACTGGAGCATTTTGCAACTGGAGCATTTTGAGACTGGAACATTTTGCGAATGGAGCATTTTGAGACTGGAGCATTTTGAGACTGGAGCATTTTGAGACTGGAACATTTTGAGACTGGAGCATTTTGCGAATGGAGCATTTTGAGACTGGAGCATTTTGAGACTGGAGCATTTTGAGACTGGAACATTTTGAGACTGGAGCATTTTCGAATGGAGCATTTTGAGACTGGAGCATTTTGCAACTGGAGCATTTTGCGAATGGAGCATTTTGCGAATGGAGCATTTTGCGAATGGAGCATTTTGAGACTGGAGCATTTTGAGACTGGAGCATTTTGAGACTGGAGCATTTTGAGACTGGAGCATCTTGAGACTGGAGCATTTTGCGAATGGAGCATTTTGAGACTGGAGCATTTTGAGACTGGAGCATTTTGAGACTGGAGCATTTTGAGACTAGAGCATTTTGCGAGTGGAGCATTTTGAGACTGGAGCATTTTGAGACTGGAGCATTTTGCCAATGGAGCATTTTGAGACTGGAGCATTTTGAGACTGGAGCATTTTGCGAGTGGAGCATTTTGAGACTGGAGCATTTTGAGACTGGAGCATTTTGCCAATGGAGCATTTTGAGACTGGAGCATTTTGCCAATGGAGCATTTTGAGACTGGAGCATTTTGAGACTGGAGCATTTTGAGACTGGAGCATTTTGCCGCTGGAGCATTTTGAGACTGGAGCATTTTGCCAATGGAGCATTTTGAGACTGGAGCATTTTGAGACTGGAGCATTTTGCGACTGAAGCATTTTGCGACTGGAGCATTTTGAGACTGGAGCATTTTGAGACTGGAGCATTTTGAGACTGGAGCATTTTGAGACTGGAGCATTTTGCCAATGGAGCATTTTGAGACTGGAGCATTTTGCAACTGGAGCATTTTGAGACTGGAGCATTTTGCGAGTGGAGCATTTTGAGACTGGAGCATTTTGCGACTGGAGCATTTTGCGACTGGAGCATTTTGCGACTGGAGCATTTTGCGACTGGAGCATTTTGCGACTGGAGCATTTTGAGACTGGAGCATTTGAGACTGGAGCATTTTGCGAGTGGAGCATTTTGAGACTGGAGCATTTTGAGACTGGAGTATTTTGCGAGTGGAGCATTTTGCGAATGGAGCATTTTAAAATCTCGGATACTACAAAAGCTAGAAGCTATTCTTGGGCTTCCTACGCAGCGCAAGTTAATTTCAGCCGAGCGCCACGCCCCTAATCGCCCACTAACGATTTTAAAATGTGCCTGGCGCCCACACCTTTAAAGATTTCCGAGAAGTATAAATGCATTTTTGTTGTGTATATTTTTACCTATCGAAATGTAGAAGACATTTTTCAAATCGGACCATTCATTAAAAAGTTAAGCGCAACCAAAATTGTATCTTCCTCGCACACTTTTTAGCTGAGTGACGGGTATTAGATAGTTGGGACAATAACCCGACTATAGCCCTGCAGGAAACGGAATCAGTTTTGGACCATTTATATACTAGTTGGGTCAAGAAGGTTAACTAGTTAAAGTTATGTCCATTTCCTTGTAACGAAGTGGTCCATTTTTCATATGCTTGTCGTCGGAAACAACTAGTCCATTTGCTAATAGTTTTGCACTAGTTACTGTTAACCGATTTACGGTTACAGCTGTTAAACTAAAAATATTTTCACGAAAAAACTAAAAATTAATCTCTAAACCATCAAGTGATTGAATTTCACTAGTACTTGACGATGCCTAACTTGACGCTCTCATAATTTAGTATCCAATCAATAGACGCGGTCCTTAGAGAATTTCTGATAATTATTATGTAATCAAATACAGTAAATGATAATTAAATGGAATTAAAACCAACTTACTTTTTTTGAGGCAAGTCGCCCTCTCCAGGACTTGAACCCGGGACCTTTGGATTTGTAGACACACTAACTGATTGAGCCATACACGCATCACATTTTGTATTGCCCTAACAAGGTTTATGAATTTTAGTGTGACATAATTCAAAAACAGCGATTTTCACATATATATTGCCTCGGACAGATTAAACAAAGTTTAAAATAAAACTAAAGCATCACCTAGCAAACAAAAAAAATGTACAGAGACTGGGGATTGAACCGAGGACCTCGAGTGTTTGATTTGTTTAGTGTTAAATTTCCCAAGACATTTACACTCTAGGCTATATTTTTGGATCATATGTGTTCCAGTTGCAACTAGTTAAATTCCAGTTGCCTTTTAACTAGACCCTAACATGTATTTGTTCTACCAGTTAAATATTTTTAAGGTTTTTTTTGTCAGAAAGGTACTAGTCCGAGACATGTTTCTTTTTTACTAGTTTTGTATTAATCATTTTTTCGACTAGCACCAATTTTCTAGACCCTGTGTAGTCCAAATGTATTCAGAGAAATTCTGGTTGCTTTATTTTAGTTGTATTACTAGTTGTTTTTCAGACTAGTTCGCATTTTTCCTGCAGGGAGCGTTCTCTCTTGTTTTATTTGGCAAGCGCTAATGATTTATTCTATTTAAAACTAATATCTTATTGAACAAACGAGGTTTGCGTTTTCATGAAATTTTATTACTTTTTTAAACATGTTCATGTGGCATATGAATTGGTTAATAGTTTTAATCAGGGACCGTAAATAACAGTTATTTGTGATTTTTATTTTACAAAGACTACTGTGATATTTGGTTTTAAACGTCAAAAATAACGTTCTTTTTACTCTTGTCCACAAAGTATATGCATTTCAACAAATCTGGAAAGCAAATTAACTGTTATTTGTTCATCTCTATAAAGTGCATAAAAACCAGTTAAATTGTTGATTAAAACTTGTACAAATCTCAGTAGGCCTTTTAAAATAAAAATCACAAATAACTGTTATTTACGGTCCCTGGTTTGAATTCCTTAAAGATTGTATGCAAACAAATCAGTTCTTTCCAAATGTTTTAAATTCTTTTTGGTAGCGTCGTTGGATTTATTTATTAAATAGCCAATCAGAAATATATCAGTCAATCATATTTATATTATTAAATGTGTAAGATTCTAAAGATTTGTTGATGTAAACAGACAAAAAATATTTTAAAGCTTTGAAAAAATAATGCCAATTTAAGAAGGGCTGTCTGTACCCCAATTCCTAATGGTTAGTTATTTTAAAAATAACCTTCTAAATACATTTTAAGTTGTTTAAATTGATCCTAAGAAGGGCCCGCTGACTGCGAATTGTTTGGAGGTAATGGAGCCTGAGCTCCTTGACTCTGAAGATTCCCAACAGTTTGCTGCTGATTTTTTTGGTTTGCTGGTTTCTTGAATTTGTTCTTGTTCTGTTGATAATTATTCGGACGGTTTTGTTGATTATTATTCTGGCGATTGTGATTGTTGGTGTTTTGGCGATTCCCTTGATTGGGATTCATATGTGGATTTGGTTGCTGGTTTTGTTGATTTGTTTGCTGGTTTTGTTGATTTGGTTGATTGGGATTATGGCGGTTCTGTTGATTAAAATTTGAACGATTTTGCTGGCTTGGCTGCTGAGGATTGTAGTTTTGCTGAAATGTTTGACTTGTATTTCGTTGGTTCTGGTGTGGTGGATTATTTGGAATCCATTTAGGTCTTGCTTGTTGAGCACTCGGCCCAGCTCCTCCGCCGACGAATGATTGATTTGGATATTGCGGCGGGCCCTGCTGGCTCATTGGAGGCGGCGCTCGGAATCCATTGTATCCTGGAGTCCTGAAGTTGTTCTTATGTTGATTGGGTGGAAAACGAGGACCATTCCAAGGAGCCCTCGGTCCTTGATGTTGCAAAGGTCCGCGTGGCATATAACCGGCTGGACGATAATTAAACTTATTGACTTGCGGCGGATTCAAGGATTGGATATTGAGAGGAGGAGTATTTCTGAAAGGATTGTTGGGGTTCTGCAGATTCATCATGTTCACCGGTGGTCCGTTCTGGTATTCAGCATATCCATTCTCGGCCTGCTGCTGACCCTGCTGTTGTTGTGGCGTTTGGAAGGGATTCCTTGGATTTGGATTAGCTAACTGGCTATTTTCAGCTGCATGCTGACTTTCGATAGGCAGTTCCGATGGCTCAGCTGGTTTAGCAGCCGTATCTAACTTCGCCTCATCCATCATTTGAGTTATTTTATCCAGTTTTTTCTTCTGCTCACGCTCGCCCTCCTTGCGGTGCCAGTGGTGAAATAGATGGGCCTTCAGATCCAGCAGCAGATCGGTGACGAAATCGCACTGATTGCAGCGAAACGGTTTTTGAAGCTGCAGCTCCTTGTATCTCTCTTCCGACATGGGCTCAATGGATCCCTGGACGCTTAGCATCATGTGAACCATTTGAAAGGGCATAAATAGCTCTGTATTAAAGCTATTCCAGTGTCGCGGACGTTTCATAGCCATTGAGTAAAAGTCGTCGGAAATCACGTGTAGATTTAGACGATTCCAAAACGTGTGGACTTTGAAACCTATTCGAAAGTTACGCGACTCCAGGTGATCCTGCTTCTCGATTATTTGATTAGCCAGCTCCATCATGTGATCCAGCAAAGGCAACTGGTCTCCAGTTAACTGATAATAGAGTCGATCAATTAGCAGTACAACCATAGTATAACCATAGACCCACCTTAGTTATGTCTCTTAACTCTTCCTTAGCAACCACTCGAAAATGATATTGGGATTTGGGGAAATCCGCTTTGATCACCACCGCCTGATCACTTTCGATAAGAAAGTTCCTCTTATCATTAAGCTTGCGCTTCAGCTCATCCCGAAAATATGCTTTCTCATCCACCTCCATTTTATCGGATACGCCTCTTTACTATTTGTGTAAATCACCGAAATCGAATCAAGAAAAGTTCTGACTCATCTGTCAAGAATCAGCCGGTAGCGCTGGCAACTGGATCAGATTCGCAGTTGGCTTTTCTCGGTTCTCTATCGGGGGGAACTGGTTCTCTAGTTAGTACTTGGAATCTTGGAGGTGCTCCACCAGATGTTCCTTGAGTGTTGGTAAATTTTTTGCAACAAATTCGCACTGGTTACAAATCAGTGGCTTGGCCAGCAATTCGTCTTTCAGCGATTTCGGCAGTCGCGAAATGCTATTCTCCTTCTCCAGTTCAGCGCACAATTCTAAAATAATATATTTGATTATATCAAAGGACAATTTGATAGCCTAATAATTATGATATTTAAACCTATTTTAAAAGATTCAAAGTTTATCAAACTGAACAGAAAGCAGAATATTGATTAGAATAATAAATAAACGGAATACTTTAATTTATTTAGAAACTATAGACTTTAACCATTCATCTCCATAAAAAAACAAACCTACCTTTAAACAAGAAAGGAAGCTAGCTTCGGCCAGCCGAAGCTTATATACCCTTGCAGATCATTCCTATTAATTAACAAATCGCAAAAATGTTCAATTTTCTAATATTTCTCATAAATTTTCCGATCCTTCCTATGGCAGCTATATGATATAGTCGTCCGATTTTGATCAAATTAAAATTGAAATTCGGAAATATTTAAAAAGAGTCATATCCTAGAGTAGAAGATAATACAATAAAAACCAAAGAAGCTAGAATTTATTTCCTATTACTTTTCCATTAATTTTCCGATCGTTCCTATGGCAGCTATATGATATAGTAGTCCGATTTTTTAAATAATTAATTCGAAATTCAGAAATATTTAAAAAATAACATCCCCAAAAGTAGAAGGTAATATTTCAAAAAACACCGAAGCTAGAATTTTTTAAAGTTTTTTTCTTCCGATCCTTCCTATGGGAGCTATAAGATATAGTTGTCCGATCCGGTCGGCTCCGACATATATACTACCTGCAATAGAAAGAAGACTTTTGCGAAAGTTTCGTCCCGATAGCTCAAAAACTGAGAGACTAGTTTGCGTAGAAACAGACAGACGGACAGACGGACAGACGGACAGACGGACGGACAGACGGACAGACGGACAGACGGACAGACGGTCAGACGGACAGACGGACAGACGGACATGGCTAGATCGACTCGTCTTGTGATGCTGATCAAGAATATATATACTTTATGGGGTCGGAAACGTCTCCTTCACTGCGTTGCAAACTTCTGACTGAAATCATAATACCCTCTGCAAGGGTATAAAAAATCAAATCAAAAACTTATTACAATAGGAATAACCTACGAATAACTACTCTGTTGGATCAAAAAAACCTACTTTTGTAGGGCACGAATAGGTCGGTGTTGAAGGAGTTCCAATGTTTCTTGGTCTTCAGACTAGGTGATACGAAGTCCCTGGATATGACATGCAAATGGAGCCTTTGCATGCTCGGTTCCGCATGGAATCCAACCTTGAAGTCTTCCCAGCAGACGCCTTTTACCTCCACAATGTTCCTGGCCAACAGATGAAGCTCCTCCAAGAGCGGCAAATGACTCCGGTTTAACTAAAGGATACAACTAATAATTATGAGTGGGTTCTTCTAAATTATTCATAATTGTAACTCACATGAAATATGCTGGAAATATCGGCTAATGGGAGTACCAAATAGTGATGCTTCGCCTTGGGAAACTTGTCTTCTATAACAACGCCGATTTCTGATGAAATTATCAAGTTTTCGGGGTTTAGAATTGTTTTGATTAGTCCATTTGACCACGACATAACAAATTACTGCACTTCAGATTAAAGATTTCGTATTAAAACGAAATATGCATATATATTTATTAGCACGCAGAATAAAAACAATAACACAGCTGGATAGTGTTGAAAACAATTAAACCTAGAGATGGAACTTTTTTGTTAGTATGTTGGCTTTGAGTACACACTGAAAAATACAAGCAACTAGCACAGCTTGAAAAATATTTTTATAAAAAGTATATGTTGAATATTAAACAATATTGGTTTATTATTAAGTCTTAAATTATTATATTTGGAAAAAAAATATAAATATGGAACCTCAAAAAAAAGTCTCTTAAAAATTACTCCCTATTCCAAAATGTGGAAATTTTAATATTACACATATAAGTACAATAGTTTAAGCTTTAAAACTCATTAATTTATAATACTCTATTAATTTATAATAGAGTTTTAATGCTTAAACTATCGTACTATATTTTAAAAATTTTGCAACCCACACCCACTGTAAATTCGGCGATATTTTTTGTTGTTAGTGTCCAATTAGGCGGTATTTTTTGCCGATCCCGCTGCGGTCACACTGTTGTTTACCTCGAAATTTCGCCTCGCATGCCGAATTACCAAGGAAATTACGTGACAATTGTGACCGAAAGCTGACTGAAATCGCTGCCACCATGGAAGCCAAGCCCGTGGTGCCGCCCCAGCCACGCCCCCGTCCCATGGCGGAGCCGCTGCACATCCAGCGCTTGGAGGCGGCCCTCAATATGCGCCCCTTCATGGACATGGCCAAAAGAGCCCTGCGGAAGCCACTGAGCAGCAACGAGGAAAGCGACGAGGAGCAAGCGGTCAAGAGGGAGCAGGATGGCCTGGATTCCGACGACTCCTCCACCGTGGGCGTTGTGAGGATGAAGCAATCCAATAGGCGGAAGAACCGTCTGCTGGGCAGCAAGGAAGGTGAGTTGGTTTCGGGATTAAGACGAGAATCCTTTGAGAAAAACCACCTCTTTTCAGAGCGACAAAGTGTCAAGGCGCAGCTATACAATTTCAACGATCTGACCAGCGATCGGGAGTGGCTCTACGATCTCCTGCTGAGCGACACGGAAAGCGATGATCCCACCATCACCGAGGATGAGTATGTGCAGCAGCTGCTGAGGGAGCACATCCGGGAGCAGCGACAGCGGAAGAACTACTACAAAAAGGCCACAGTGAGTGTTGTGGAATCTTGGGGTTTACCTTAACTTATCCTTTATCCTAATTCCCCATCAGAACGCCCAGTATGCCTACTATGGCGCCGGCTTGCTGTCCAACCACGACGTCTTTGCCGAGCGCCAGCAGGCGACGGCCGGAGTGCGCAAGAGGCGTCGCCGCACCAAGCAGGAGATCCTCATGGCCCGCTTGGCCGAAGCCCAGGCTGGACCAAAGCCACCCAAGCAGCGGAGGAGGGGTCGCAAGAAGCGGGATATCATGGGATCACCGGAATCCGGGGAGGTGCCGCCGTCGGAGCTGGGCAAATACTCGTTTGGCGACACAATGCCCACCAACGAGGACGAAGACGAGGACGGCGGCGAGGTGGACTACAAAAGGGAGCTGGCCAGCTTGGCCCTGGACTACCCGGAGGAGGAGGAGATCGAGGAGGAGGTGGACGTGGTGGGCGGCACCGAGGGTCAGGTGACTAAGGTCCGGCGTAAGCGCAAGAACCCAGCCGCTTTGGCCGCTCGCCGTCGTCGCATCTGGCAGATTATGTCGAAAAAGGAATCGGGCCGACTGCAGCGCATCAAGAGTAATAATCACAAGGAGATGCTGGCCAATTGCAAGCGGGTGGCCGGCATGTGCGCCAAAGTGGTGCGCCAGCGTGCCGTCAACTCACAAAGGATCATGAAGGAGACGGTGTGGCGGGCCAAGCGACTCACCAGGGAAATGCTCGCCTATTGGAAGCGGTACGAGCGCGTGGAGCGGGATCAGCGGCGCAAGCAGGAGCGAGAGGCGGAGGAGCAGCGGAAACAGGACGTCGAGCTTATCGAAGTGAAGCGACAGCAGCGTAAGCTCAATTTCCTGATCACCCAAACCGAGCTGTACGCCCACTTTATGTCCAAGAAACTGGGTCAGGGCAGCGAGGAGGATCAGCTGCGCATTCTCAGCCAGCTGGATGAGGAGACCAATGCCAGGTTGGCGGTTCAAGATGACTACGACGCGGGGGAGATGAAGCTGCTGGCTCAGGAGAACGCCGAAGCAGCTATGCAAAGGGATTTGGACAAAACAAGGGCGTTCGATGTGTTTGTAAAAAAGGAGGAGAAAAAAGAGGAGGAGGAGGAGGAAGAGGAAGGTGATGAGGATATAAAACCACAGCCCCGCCCGGAAATGAAGGACCTACCGCAACCCAAGATGTTTAAGGGAACCCTCAAGGGCTATCAAATCAAGGGCATGACCTGGTTGGCCAACATCTACGATCAGGGAATTAGCGGCATATTGGCCGACGAAATGGGCTTGGGCAAGACAGTCCAATCTATAGCCTTCCTTTGCCACGTCGCCGAGCATTACGGAGTGTGGGGACCGTTTTTGATCATCTCACCCGCGTCAACGCTGCACAATTGGCAGCAGGAGATGTCCAGATTCGTGCCCGATTTCAAGGTGGTGCCATATTGGGGTTCACCTGGCGAGCGAAAGATCCTGCGGCAATTTTGGGATCAAAAGCACTTGCACACACGCGACGCCAGCTTTCATGTGGTAATCACCTCCTACCAACTGGTGGTTAGCGACTACAAGTACTTCAACCGGATCAAGTGGCAGTACATGGTTTTGGATGAGGCTCAGGCCATCAAAAGCGCTGCCTCGCAGCGCTGGAAGCTACTGTTGGGCTTCAGCTGCAGGAATCGATTGCTCCTCAGTGGCACTCCCATCCAGAACAGCATGGCAGAGCTATGGGCACTGCTGCATTTTATCATGCCCACGTTGTTTGACTCCCACGATGAGTTTAACGAGTGGTTCTCCAAGGATATTGAATCGCATGCTGAGAACAAAACGGGAATTGACGAGAAACAAATATCCAGACTGCACATGATCCTAAAACCCTTTATGTTGCGGCGGATTAAGAAGGATGTGGAGAACGAGCTGTCCGATAAGATCGAGATCATGGTCTACTGTCCGCTCACTATTCGCCAGAAGTTGCTTTACAGGGCGCTGAAGCAAAAGATTCGCATTGAGGATCTACTGCACCTGACCAGTGGATCTACTACTACTTCTTCGTCCTCTTCAGCTTCAAATCTGATGAATCTGGTCATGCAGTTCCGAAAGGTGTGCAATCATCCAGAGCTCTTTGAAAGAAGGGACGCAAAGAGCCCGTTCTTCATGCGATGTGCGGAGTATACGATTCCCCGATTGGTTTTCGATGATGGACTAATACACAGATTGTTGGCCAGTCGAAAGCATTTGCTGTACAACCGGTAGGCAGATTTTATTTTGAATGTTTTTAAGTGTTCTAATATTTATCTAAAATTACCCTACTTAGGTTTAATATCTTTAAATCGGAGTACATGCAAAGGTCACTTTTTGAGGATGTGAACGTGGATAGCTGCTTTGGATTTACCCGCTTGTGTGATTTATCTGTGGGCGATATGGTGGATGTTACGCTCAATGGGCTGATTGATTTGTGAGTCTTAATTACATTTATTTATGTAAAATTCATAAATTAAGTTAATTTAATTTTCCACAGTCTTTTGCATTATCAAAGAGTGCTGGAGAAATATCCGCTGCTGGCCTACCGTCGCTTTTGGTGGAAGAAACAACCTGCCAGCCGGTATCAACTATTGGAACCAATGCTGGAAAACAAATTGGTACTCGACTATATGCCAACGAAAAGTGTTCTGCAAAACTTTGTTTTCACAGCGATGGTAAGATTAGTTAAATGTATCAATTTGTTTTACCATCCATTTATCATTTTACTTTGAACAGACCACCAACGAGAGCAGCGTTTACGCCTTTGGCGACTACTTCACGTACAACATGCAGGAAACCATAGAACATCGTGTGATTCGTTCAAAGATTCTCAAGGAGAAGACCTCACTGATCGAGGAGATGGCAGATGCCTCCAAGCAGGAGCTGGAAATCGAGTCCGTGGAGGTCCAAACTAAATCGAATGCTAAGAGCGATGTGAAGGTCACCACGCTGCTGCTGCTACCAGAGTTTCCGCATCGCCCTCGAAAACCCAGGAGCTATCAATGTGAACCGCTCTTTATGCCCCGATTTATTTATGATTTAGGTCAGAAAGTCCAGGCGGTGGATAGGCAATTATAGTGAGTTCTTAATGGTTTTTGTTTGAATTTCCATTTAAAATTTATAACTTATCTTCTTTTTATTCTAGTTGTGAGAGTCGCACTGCCGCCTGGGCGCAGATTCGTCACAAGCAGTGCGAAAACAGCCAGGGCAGGGAGCTTGTCTCCAGCGGATTGGCCTTGTGCAAGCCTCATAGTGGATGGTCTTCCATCGTGGTTCCCGACAAGGAGACACTGATCACCGATGCCGGCAAACTATTTGTTCTGGACACCCTTCTCACTCGCCTCAAGGCGAATGGCCATCGAGTGCTCATCTACTCGCAGATGACCAAGATGATTGACCTGCTAGAGGTGAATTTAATATACTTTAAATCATAGTGTGTTCTTAAGTTTTTTTAATAATATTTTCAGGAGTACATGTGGCACCGCAAACATCGCTATATGCGACTGGATGGCTCAAGTAAGATCTCCGCTCGCCGCGATATGGTTGCCGATTTTCAAACCCGAGCAGATATCTTCGTATTCCTGCTGTCTACAAGAGCCGGCGGCCTGGGCATTAATTTAACAGCTGCAGATACGGTGAGTTCATATTAAATTTGTATTCTTAACCATTCGTTGACCATATAAAATAGTATATTAATATTTGCTTGTCAAAAAATCTTACTTTCGTTTAAAAACTGTTTGGAAATCGATTTCCTGAATTTAAATTTAAACGACTAATGCATAAGTAGCCCTTCCATAACTTTCAAATCTTACGCCTTTCAAATTTCATTCGCTCGCATTGTAACAAAAAGGATCAACCAAATTAAATCCAATTAAAGGCAATAATTTCAAGCGGTCAAAATTTTAAGTTTTTTTAAAAATGGCTCAAAACCGCTGCTTAGAGCCCATGGACAAGATAGTGACCACGAATATGCCTCAGCTTAAGTCTAGCATTACTCCCTATCGACCCAAGCCAAAGTTAATCCGTAGCCTTTCCCCTAAATTGGAAAACGACAAGCGCAATGGACTGGATTTGCAGTTGCCCGAGGAACAAGAGGCAGTTACAGTGAAGCGAGTGCGATGGGCTCCGATGTTTGGAGACAGGAATGAGGCTACTAAGCCATCCACTTACATCAGTCCACTGAGCTCCAAACAGATCCGACCTGATCAGGATACGCCAGATGAGGTGAGACTGGTCAACGAACTGCGATTGGCGGTGCATCGCGGTGGTGGTTCCATCGATCCCGAGAAGAACTACGAGCTGAGGGCTTGCCTATCTCCCCTGCAGTTGCCGTACAGTCGTGTGCAGCGAATCCTGAGGGAGTGCGAGTTGAACGAGAGGAATCAGAGCACTTATAGCCTGCCCATGGACTATGCGCGGCAATTGGTTGCCATGGTCTGCAAGGTCAGGACGGATAATCTTATCGACCTAAAGCTCCGCTTGGCCCCTCTTTTAAGGCATAGCAAATCTCGCTTCTTCAATCGACACTTATTCAACGAAACTGGTCTGATTAAAGCCATTGTGCCAAGCAAATCACCTTTAAGCTTCGATGATTTCAATCAAACATTGCGAACGGATGCATTGTGGTGCAAGGCCACCGATAGCGCCATTACTGATTTGGGAAAAGGTGCCGTTTTGTTTAAGTGTCGACCGCAGGATCTGCGCGAAGTGACTGACAAACTGCGGCAGTGCAGCTATAAGATTACTCACACGGAAGTGGGTCACTGTCCAAACAAGTCGCTGGTGGATCTAACAGATCGACAAATGTCCCGATACCAGGAGTTTTGTAAAATTCTTTTGGAGGACAAAGATATCGTAAAGATCTATGACAATGTTCGAGCCCATTAGTTTATCGAAAATTCGATGTTGTTCTAAATTATTGAAAGTGAAAGTAAATTTCTTTAGGATTTCAAAAATAAAATTCTTTACCTTGTCATTTTTTTGATGAATATAGACTTCATTTTAATATTTTTGTCGAGTGTACTTTTATCACTAGAGTGTTTAAATTTCATGAGTAACCACTTTACCATGATAGTTTTTACAAGTCTTATATCAGCGGGAAATTATAATTATTAGTGCCTTGAGTAGGTACTTGAATAACAAATATTTGCAAACAGTCTACACATCTAGTTAGTCGTATTAAATTAATTGATACTAAAAGTTTTCCATGTTTTTTCATTTAATATACTTATACACAGAAAAAAATATGACAAAATATCAAATTGATATTTGTTGGTTAATTTGATCTTTTTTAAGGATCAAGTTTCGTCATATCATTCTAACATGAAGAAATATTATTTTGATCTTATTTCATATTAATTTTGGAAAAAAAATACTGAATTCGGTATTTAAAACAAGTATATTTACAATTTATATGAAATCGTATGACTTTGATATGAAAAAATATCAAATGTCGTTTCGAATTTAGTTCGAAAGGGAGAAATAGTGTTCCACAGTTTACAACACTGAGATTGTGCAGCACTGCAAAAACAGCTGGCCCAACTTTGAGACCAAAAATATTCGAGAACAAGGTGTTTTTATTGTCAAATGAAATCAATTTATTTTTTTATTGAGTGCTAAGTCGAAACATTACAAAGTTGTGGTGATTTTAACTTTGCCGTCGAGTTAGCACACAATTTAAAGACATTTCGGTTCTGAATGTGCGTGTGTGTGTGTGCCGGCCGCAGTTTTACGTTGTGTGTGTCACAGGCAAAACTAAAATAATAAAATATTGAAGATTTTGCTGGCCCACCTATACATATGTACACCGACTCAAAAAAATGTGAAATGATTAGAATTAAATTGTTTTAATATAAAATAAAAATTTCTGTTTTACTGGGGGGTACTAATATACACGAAATAATATTATTTTGATGAACAAAATTGATATAAAATATATCATTTTGATGACAAAAATTGATATAAAAAATATCATTTTGATGACCAAAAAGTTCAAATGTTATTTTAAACACTAATCTTTCTTAAGATTGAATTGATATTTAAAAATATCAACTTGATATTCTCGAAAATATCAACTTGATATGTTCGAAATATCAATCTTGCATTAATTAATATCGGCCCAAATTTGATATGAAATAATGTTAACTTGAGTGCAAATTCATATCAATTTTTTTTTCTGTGTAAATTCATTACAGATTTATATAAGGTTTATCTAATTTCTCAGTTTCCTGTAGAACTTGATGATTTATAGGCAGCTTTTGGACAATATTTTATAGGAAAGAATTCGTTTGTCATTGTCCCGAACTCGAAGGCGGAAAAACCCTGTGTGGCTCTTGTATCCATTTGCTAAACTACTTGTTCATGCACTGCAGCAGTCAAGGCTGAATCTTGAGCCAGGTGTGGTGAAGGGTTGGGATGCGGACGAGGATGAGCTGGGAGAGTGAGTGGCGGCAGACCGTGATTTACTCGTGTGATCTTTATCGCCGCGTAACAATGAGGCCCACCAATCCGAATCCGAATCCGAATGCAGCGACCACGTAGAAGAATTCTCAGCCAAAAAGGATACAATATCGAACAGAATCTTTGCATGTATCTCCCCCGGCACTTCTTGTTCGATTTCAGCGGTTCTGGTCGATCTTTTCTTTGGTTATGGACTGGTAGTTCTGTTGCTTCGTGTGAACATTTTCGCCCGGTTCCTAAATCATTTTGTCACCGGTTTTGATTTGTTATTTGCGCACCCTGGCCGAAAGTAATTTGGTTTCAGCTCCAACTCCTCTGTCATTTTATAGCCAGGTTCTCAGGCTCAACCTCTGATGCCGGATCGGTCTCCCCGCCTCACTTGCTCAGGTTTATGTCTTGAGTTGACTAATTCCATGTTGGTATTTTAGCTGGCTGATTGTTCCCCATCAGCGGATCGTCGAAGGCGGCTTCAGAGACCTTTTAGAACTTATCGGGGGATGGGGAGATCCCGAACGATGATTCACAATCATCCTTCTTGGCCTTTCTTCGCTGCATGGATAATTTAAGAATTTTTAAATATAACATTTATTAAATTCCAGATTTTCAAAAAAAGAGTGAAGTGATGTGATTCGCTGACATTTATAGTTTGACCACAGGCAAAAAGGCAGAAATTTACAACTTCCTCTCAGGATGCAGAAAAAAAAAGAAATTTCAAACATCAACCAATTTCCAAAAGCTTTTGAATTATGGCAAGAATTTTTATTTCTTTTTCGATATAATTTCTCAAACACCATCGAAAAGAGTTTCGCCCCTTGCTCGCCTTCTTTCTTTGAGACCTTTCGACAAGAATAAAAGTATTTCCCGTTCATGTCTTTGGCGCATACCGAAATAATTTGACCAAAAACTCAACACTTTGGCATTTCTTTTGGCCTTTCAGTCGCCCTCCTTCCTCCATCTTCTACCAACCCGAAAGGTCCAACAAGAATCCCAAAGAGGAAGGGAAAACTGTACCAGTTACATTTTAAATGATACGAGGCCCACGATTTAATTGTATTTAATGCTATTTATAAGCAAATTGTATTGTTGAAAACAAGTTCGCTTGGGACTTGTTAAATGGATCTGCTCGGGTCATTATAATGCGTGACTCGATTCGGTTTCGGCTCACAAGATTTATGACATTTTCTAAAGCAATGCAAAGTCTTTAAGCAGCCGGCTGTCTATCGATCTTGTTATGCCCAGCACGTTTCTGGATTTAGTGCAATTCATTGGGTGTAGGAGTCCGCCCTTCCTCCACATATCACCTTTCCTCACTTTTCGGTACCGTCTATGTCCGTGATGGACTGTCGGAGTGGTCACACCTTTTCAAACATTTTGATGGATTTGTGGGCCACATAAATTTCCAGTTTTTATTGCATCATATTTGCAAATCTTTCGAGCTAGAAAGTAAAATTAATTTCTTGAGCTGTATCTCAAACAGAAAGTTTTATATCGGCCTGATTTATGACTGTCCTTTGTAGTCAATTTCAAGTTATGGGATCTTGACATTCTATAGCTACAATAACCCACTCGACGAGATAATGGTTAATTGTGCAAAGGACAAGTGGCTGCTTCAGTTAAGAGTTTAGTTTAGTAAATAAATATTATTTATTTTTTCCATAATTAAAATATGCATATATGTATATTAAATATTTGCTTTATTAGGCCAAATATAGGTGATTAAATATTTATATAATTAAAAACAAAAAAAAATAACATTAAATTAAATTCATCAATTGAGATATTAGTCCTTCAGCCATTGGGCCACAAGCTTGATCAGCTTCTGCTTGGAGGCCACCAGCTCGGCACTGTCGGTGGCACTGATCGATCCGGTATCGGGGCAATGGGAGGCGTACGGAATGATGGTGGCTCCCTGGGCAACTCCAGCACCCACCTTGCTCCAACCATCAAGAGCTCCCTGCACAAAATATATGTTGGTGGCATTAACGTCCAGGCCTCCGAATTCCTTGTTTGTGGCGCGGATTTTCGAGTGGATGCCAGCAGAGTCGTAGTCCGATCCAAAGACTCCCTCGCAGGTGTCCTCATACAGAGTAGCCGGGAAAGTGGATCCGAAAGGTTGGCTCTTGCTGCCCGAAGACTGGAACCAACCGAACTCGTTGCAGGTCTGGAAGATCCAGGGCAAGTCGCCTAAAAAGGGTAGAAAGATATATTAAATTATTATTATTTTATATTTTATATTAAAAGTTATAACTCACTGTCTTCGTAGTTCTCCTTAGACCATTCATAGTAGCCCACAGCTCCATTAAAGGTGGTGCTCAGGCAAGCGCCAGAGTGTTCATTGATTTTCCAGTTGATGAACTTGGACAAAGCTTCAGCATCATCATCACTGAATTCTCGCAGAATGGAGCAGTACTTGGGAATGTCGTAGTTCTCTGGCCTATGGGAAAATAATGTATTATTATCAAGATCTTCCAGTTTTTTTTGTGTCGCCTACTTTTGGTACTGAGCAATGCCGGCGAAAATGTTGGCAATGGTGCTGAAGATCTGCCAACGGTCCTGTTCGTTGTTGGGATTAAAGTTGGAGCACAGGTTCAGTTCCTTGGCAGCCTGAGTTCCGTTTCCAATATCGAAAAGATTCTCATAGTAAGCAGTGGCATTGTCAATCAGATCGTAACAATACTGTCCTCCCAGGGTAGCGTACGACTCGCCAACCACCTGCATGTAGTCCTTGAAGTTCACCTTGGCCAGCAGCGGTGCCGATGAGGCCCAGCTGCCCCTGATGGTCTCCGGATAGAGCTTCCTGATCCAGGTGGCCATGGTGGCCGAGTAGGAGCAGCCAGAGACCACAACCTTGGAGTCCTTGTATTTGTCCTCCAGCTTTAGGGTTTCAATCACGTTGATCACATCGGCCAAGGCCTGTTCAACGCTCTGGTACTTCTCCAGGTTCTCAGTGGACAGAGGACTAAAATGTTATTTAATATTAATTATCCCTGTAAACCTGGTCATTATATATTAACTTACGTTATTGGGATACTCTCGCCAAAGAAACGATGTTCAGTGTAAAGCAGGGAACCGTTGTGGCTCTTGGCAATGTCCTTCCAGAGTCCAGAGGTAATGCCACTGGGATCGATAGCCCACTCGCCGCCCAAGTAGATAAAGATGGGATTTCCGTCTTTAAAATACTTGTTGTTGATATATATGCGCTAAGGATTCAAAGAGAGATGGTTATAGAAGGTAAACTTTGATCAATAGCGATTTTGATTTGATCCTTACATCCAGCCAGGTGGCATTGTTGCTATCATCGAAGTTGTCCAACTTTTGGGTGATCCAGCGCTCCTCCACATGGGTCTTCCTGGTCTTCAGTGTTTCCACTGGAGGTCCTCGATGCAACTCCCTCAGGGACTTGACGAAGGCATTGGCCTCTGGTTTCTGTTCACCCAGACTGGCTGCCAAAGCCAGGGGTGCCAATAGGGCGAGTACTACTAGGGTATACTTCATATTGCTGGTTAGTTCACAAGTTAGTTAGCGAATGATTTTCCACCATCGGCCACCGACTATTTATTGGAAAATATTCTCTACTGACAGTCGCATCAGCCTTTGATAGGGTCTTTGGGCACTTAACTGCAACGCAAACAAATATCGGAAAATATATAGCACTGATAAAGTCGAGGGTTCTTCGTTCGTATCACGCCTTGCATCACGTTATTTGATCTAGGTTCATTAGAATGCATTTGGTTTTCGCAAAGACAAAGAAATTGTGCAAGTCTCAATTGATAAATTTATATAACTTTGGTAGGATGCAAAGGGTGGAAAAGTTCTAATGTAACAGGGGTTCTTCAAAATATATAGGAACTAAACATGTTCCTTAAAAATATATCTTTTTAATTAAACGTATTAATTAAATACATTTTTATAACTGTTAAAAAAAGTCATTAAAATATTAGAAATATTACGAATATAATAAACTATTTATAGGAAATAATTAAAAAATATTACTACATTGTTGAATAATGTAAATGTACAGTGTACACGTGCCTTGTAATCATTTCACTCTAGTTAAGTTATTCCCATATTAGCAAACTTGCCACATTTATGGGCGTTCTATATTTACTTTTTCATTTTCCTTTATCAATTGGCTGGGGTCTTTTCATGATCTAAGAACAAAATAATTTTTCTTTTGTAAGTAGGGGAGAGTGGGGCAATTTTGTCAGCATTTTTTCAAAGCTATTTTTTGTCCATATTGAGACACGTTATCATATTTCTATTTTTATTGTGAAATGCGGTTAGCACCAAGCTTTAAATGTGACATTCCCCTTTTTTTTAATTACCTTGGTGATTTATAAAAAATTAAAAAGTAAAACCAATATACTGGGGCAATTTCACCACATATATCATCATATTTCTATTTTTATTGTGGAATGTGGTTAGCACCAAGCTTTAAAATGTGACATTCTCCTTTTTTTAATTATCTTGGTGATTTATTATTATTATTAAAATTAAAAAGTAAAACAAATATACTGGGGCAATTAAAAATTACGACTTATGGATTCCGAGATATTGCAAGTGACGAAATTGCCCCACTCTCCCCTAATAATAATAAATATTTTAATAACACTCAACTTAAAATTATAAAATAATCTTTTAGAATTGTCAAAAAACTGTAACTTTAAGTTGTGAAGAATTCTTTGTTTAGTTTTCCAAATCTTTACGAATTGCGTTATTTGTTCAAACATTTCCTTGTTGAATAGTGTACACTTGCGATGAAATCATTCAGCACTTGTTAATTTAATCCCATATAAGCAAACGTGACAATTATATTGGTCATTGTTTGTTACCAAATATTTACTTTTTAGGTTCCTTGGTCAATAAGCTGGTGTCTTATCATGATGTAAGAACAAAGAACGTAACAAAATTAGTTTCTCTATTGTTCGTGTCTACTCAAATAGTTAGAGCTAAAATCGCAGCTATATTATATTTTTTTTTATTTGTCTTACCAAGATGTCTTAAATTGCCATAAATATTAAATTTAGTTTTATAAGAAATTCTTATAATAATATAAAATATAATAAAGACTTACATAATAGTAATTATATCCCATTACATATTGATTATTCAGAAATGAATAGTTAATTCTTTATAACATAATGTAATTTTTCAGCAACTGTTCCCTGATTCATATTTTTATACCTGTTACTCGAAGAGTAAAAGGGTATATTGTATTTGTGCAAAAGTATGTAACAGGGAGAAGGAATCGTTTCCGACCCTATAAAGTATATATATATAGTCATGTCCTTCTGTCTGTCCGTCTGTGTGTCTGTCCGTCTGTCTGTCCGTATGAACGCTGAGATCTCGGAAACTGGGTTTCCTACGCAGCGCAAGTTTATTTCAGACGAGCGCCACGTCCACAATCGCCCACTAACGATTTTAAAATGTGTTTGGCGCCCACACTTTTAAAGATTTCTGAGAAGTAAAAATTTTGTTGTATTTATTTGTACCTATCGAAATGTAGAAAAAAATTTTCAAATCGGACAATTCATTAAAAAGTTATAAGCAATCAAAAAAATGTTATTTATCCGTCTCCCTCGCACTCCCTTGAGCCGAGTGACGGGTATTAGATAGTCGGGACACCAACCCGACTATAGCGTTCTCTCTTGTTATGCAATAATATTTATCTTATTTTGATTTAAACGATCACTGAGTATTTTCCCTGAATATATTCCCTGTTCCATGCAATTGGATTTTATTGACCTCGGGTTCCCTGTACTCGTACTTATAGTACCCTTACCTTTAGTTGCATATTTTTCGGCGTCACTTTAGAGAAAAGCTATTTTTTAGTCCCAATACAACTTTTGTTAAAGTTTTATGACACAGTTTCATTAGAACACTTATCGTAAAAATTCTTCAAACTTTATTATAAAACCCACACTTTTGAAATTTATTCAAACCTTTTAAAAAACAGATAAAACCACAAAGCTGTATTACTAAAAAGCATTTCACATGTTGGTTTTTGGTTATTTTATTCTTTTATTACATAAAATAACACCAAATAAGGACCAATGCCAACAAATCTAAGCCAACCACTGGCGCACCAAATCAGCGAGCTTCTCCTTGGAGGCGCGCATTTCGGCGGAGTCTGTGGTCTTGATCGATCCAAAGTCGGCACAATGCGAGGCATTGGCGATGAGGGTGGCTCCCTGCTCGACTCCATGGCCCATGGGGTTCCATGGGTCCAAAGCACCGTGGGTCATGTAAACATTCTCCACTCCGGGCTCCATGCCACCGAAGTACTCATTGGTCTGCGCTGCATTGCTGTTGATCTGTTCATTTCCATACTGCGAACTAAAGACATCTCCGCAGAGGGTAGTGTATAGGGTGGTCGGGAACTTAGTGCCGAAGGGCTGATTCCGGGAGCCAGAGCTCTGGTACCATCCATACTCATTGCAGGTCTGGTAGTACCAAGGACGACCTATGAAAGATATGTTAGGGCATTTTTTGAGGACTTTAAGGAATTTTTCACATACTAGCATCAAAGTTATCCACTCCCCACAGATAGTACTCCACAGTGCTGGCATAGGTGGCATCAATACAGCTGGGCATTCCCCAGCCCCAGTACACAAAGTTAGCAATAGCCGTGGCATCATCCCGGAAGCTCAAGAGGTAGTCGCAGTAGTACTCGATATCGCCAGTGCTAATTTGAAATTTGAAATTTTTCAACTAAAATATTAGTACTTAATGCAGTTCATACCTTTGATATTGCGCCACCCCAGAGAAAACATTCGAGATACTGCCGAACAGGGACCACAAGTCCAGATCGTTTTGGTCATCAAAACTGTTGCACAGGCGCAACATGGCCCTAGCTTCAGCTCCCCGCTTATTGGCGAACAGGGACTCCAGCTCGGCGATGCCATTTTCGATCCTATTGTAGCACTGCTGGCCGCCCAACTCGAGGAAGGCCCTGCCCACCACCTCCTTGTACTCGGTGAAATCGACCTTAGCCAAAAGAGGAGCACTGGAGGCCCAGCCACCTACAACCAAGTCGGGATACAGACGCTTGAACCACACCACCATGGTGGCCGAGTAAGAACCGCCAGCTAGTAACACTTTGGAGTTGGCCAACTGGGGGTTCTCCGCCTTGAAGGTCTCAATGAAATAGGCCACATCGGCCAGGGCCTGCTTTACATCCAAATACTTGAGGTTATCCGTGGACATGGTTCTAAAAAAATATAGGGATATTTCGAAGTTAAAGGAAAGGATTAATATTTACTCACGATGTAGGCACACTTTGACCATAGAAACGATGTTCGGTGTAGACAAGCACACCCTTGTGCTCCTCAGCCATGTCATACCAATGACCAGCGCTGACCATGCTCTGCTCGATCTCCCATTCGCCACCCAGGTAAATGAAAATGGGACTTCCCTCAGTTTGGAACTCATCATTGAGCAAATAACGCTGAAATATTACTCATTAATAAATCTAATCTAATTTATGTGTAACTTGTAGTAGAAAAATATCTTTTACAATTACGTAATAACATTTCTCCAAGAATTAATTCTTTTACCCACCATCTGATAAGTGGCCGTGTTGCTCGCGTCAAAGTTATCCAATTTCTGGGTGATCCATTTCTCCTGGACAACCGCACGCTTGGTGACCACCTGTTGTGGTGGACCACGGTTCAAGTTCTTCAGTGTCCTGACCAAAACGGGCACATCCTTAATCTTGGAAGTGTCCAAGGCCTGGACAAGTCCTGCAGCCAAGACTACAGCCAGGCAGACCAAACGCAGAGCAGCCATTTTCACAAATGAACCAACTAGTCGGTCCGATTTGGCCTTTTAAGTTGACCGTTAACGGTGTTGGGTTCTAAAGTAATTTGCGGCCACGATAAAGATTGTAAATTTCGTATAGTTGATAAGTGACCAGCGACATGATATGATAGCGATTAGAAGTTGCGATTAGAAGTTCGCATTTGTCGTCCATCATAAATCGATCGGAACTCATGGGAATCTTTTGTAGGATTAGTTGGAAATTCCCATTTATGGCCGACCGATCAAAATCACGGCTGTTGCTTGGTTACCTAATCAGTTCGATTTTTTCCAAGTCATTAATTTTTCATAATATCCATGTGCATTGCTTAAAAATAATAATCAGATCCAATAATATATCATTAATAGATTATCTTTTATTTGTAATCTTATCTAAGCTTGATTAGATACGATTATAAAAAATGTTTGGAATTTTGTTTAATTCCACTTAATTTTAAATTGACAATTTTCATTTAGTGTGACGTTGAATACGACTATTTAACCCACTCGCGAACCAGCTCAGCAATGCGTTCCTTGGAGGCTTTCATCTCAGCGGTGTCACTAGAGCTAATCGAATTGAAGTCCTTGCAATGGGCATATTCTGCAGGATCACAATGAAGGTTAATACTTTGAGTTTAAAGTACTTTACTCCCATTTACTCACCTGGAATAATGGTGGCCTGATCCGCATCCTGGATTCCCATTGCCCTCCAGGGATCCAATTGACCGTGGGTTAGATAGACATTCTCCACACCAGGAGTCAATCCACCAAAGTACTGATTGGTGGTGCTCACTTGGTTGGTTATGAACTCGTTGCTATACTGAGAGCCATACAAATCGGCACACATGGTGGTGTAATATGTAACAGGGAACTTGGTGCCAAAGGGCTGGGCTCTAGAACCAGAGGTCTGATACCAACCGTACTCATTGCAGGTCTGGAAGATCCACTGGCGCACTGTAAAATTTGTATATAACTTAAGCTTTGAAAGGGAAGTCAGTTATCTACTTACTGATATTGCCATTATAGGTAGTGTCCAAAAGCAGTGCCGTTATAGCGTCATAGCTAAGGTCATGGCACTTGCCACCGCTCTCCTCGAACACTTCCAACAAATAGCTGGCGACACCAATAAGATCGCTCGATCCAGCCATTATCTTTTGGCAAACCCCCTCGATTTGGCCAGCACTAAAAGTTGAAAAAAAGATTAGTATTAATCGGAATAATATATTATTACGCTTAGTCACTTACTTATGAGTCTGTACAACGCCTGCAAAGATATCGGAGACCTCGCTGAACAAAGTCCACACATCCAGATCGCTATACACATCGAAGGGTTCGCAGAGCTTGAGAAGAGACTTGACCTCAGCACCTCGCTTTGTGGCTATCATGGTCTCCATCTCGGCAATGCCGTTCTCAATGCGCTTATAGCAGTCGGAACCACCCATTTGTTCAATGGATTGGCCAGTGACTTCCTTGTACTCTGTATAAAGTAAAGGTTTATTTTTGATACTAAGTGCCATTAAGAAATTACGACTCACCCACAAAATTAACCTTGGCAAAGAGCGGAGCACTGGAAGCCCAACCTCCAGCCACCAGATCGGGATAGACCTTCTTGAACCAGGTGACCATTGTGGCGGAGTAGGAACCACCCACAATAATGACCTTGGACTCGGACAAACCCTCATGGCTTTGCTTGATGCTGGTGATGAAATGAGCCAGATCGGCCAAGGACTGGTTCACACTCAGATACTTGATGTTTTCATTGGAGAGATCACTGTAAGGACATGGATATCATTTTGTTTAGGGAGTTATAGATGATATTCTGGAATTACTCACGGTAAGGGCTTGCTTTGTCCATAGTAACGGTGCTCAGTGTAGGCCAAAAGAGCATTGTGCTCCTTGGCCATGTCGTAAATATGGCCACCAGTTATTCTGCCAGCGGAGATCTCCCATTCTCCTCCAAGATAAATAAACAGAGGTGCACCAGACGTGTAAAGAGCATCGTTCAGCATATAACGCTAAAGAGTTTGTCAAAAAAAAGTACCTTAATAAGTCCCTAAAATCTATTATGTAATTAAACCATAAATACCATTTGCCAAGTGCGTGACTCTGCCGCATCGAAGTGATCCAATTTCTGTTCGATCCACAGGGTCTGCACTACATCCGCTCGGCTCTGAGTAGTTGGCAGTGGTGGCTCTTCATGGATCCTTTTGAAGGTCCTCTCGAAAATGCTTCCATTGCTTTGGCCCAGGGCCAGAAGAGCCAAAGAAATTCCTAGCCAGAACTTCATCGTCGATCGCCGAGTGTTGGAATAAGACTGATCAACCTTTAAAAGCTTATGAGCCAACTAATTCACTTGCTTTAGCTCAAAGCAAATCTTATCGCCAACGTAGTGCCTAATTAGCAGTTTTTAAGCCAGTAAATAATATTGTCAACTGGGTTAAATAGATTGTTGGTAGGAATTTTACGCTGCTTTTTATTAGCCCAAAAGCCATGCGGCGCCTTATCGAGTGGTATTGTGGTCGCAACGACTGTTACGATTATCAATCATTGGATTTCACTCACTCAATTTGAAAGCACTTGAAAAGTAGGTAATAGAGTTACCCGATAAGGGTTGTACAAGGTGTAGTACAATTACTAACTAGAGTGTGATTATACCCTTTCAAAGGGAGTTAAAAAATATTAAGAAATATATAAATGGACTATTTAATTTTCAATTAGTTTTTAATATTTTGCTAGCTTAGTTGTACGCTTTAGTTTGCAATTTTTGCACTTCGAAATCGATGTCCATCTTCAAGGCATTTATAGAAGGCTTATCATTCTCTTTCCATGGCTGTAAGTCCTCGCAGTGAGTTGCACCTTAAGTAATTGTAATGTATTAGTAGGAAAATCAATTTTCAAATTAGGTAAAATTCACCCTCTAAAATATATGTCCTATTGTGTTTCCTCACTTTGGTAGCTGACCAAGCATCCAGTTCCGGTTGGGTCAAAAAGACCTTGCGAAAACTTTCTCTATTATCCAAATCCTTAAAATTTCTATCAGTGTTTTTGACTTTTCTGTTTATGTAACATTCGAAAAACCTATTTCCAAAAACATCAAAACACAAATCAAGCCAAAAATCAATTGGGATATATTCAGAGGTTTGAAAGTTGCCAAGCTGACTGCAACATTGGTAGAACCAAAGTCGAGCTGAAATATAAGAAATAATCGAAAAGTTTGTTTTGATATTAAATATATTGCCTACCTGAATCCGTGGTATATTCAACGTCTTTTAGGGATTTTAAACTGGAAACACTGTCATAGCATTCCGAAGAATTCCCTTCTAGTTGCTTTTTAAGGTAAGAGGTAAATGAGCTTTTTGAAATATCATCGCAGGCCTTTTGAATACTGGATTCAGAAAAAAAGAGGTGGAATTTATTTGTAACCAATTTCCAATTCATTTACTTACTTTCCATACTGCACTTCAGAGCCAATTACTTTTGTTAATCTTTCAAATAAATTAATAACATGAACATTATTTGTATGATCAAATCCACAAATATTCATTTCTATAAGTTTTGTAGTGGTATGATTGTTTAAATCAGATTTAAGGCTCTTGAAGCCCTCAACTATCTGATCATGGCACTTCTTACCTCCAATTTGTTGAACAAGTTGAAAAACTCTTGCATAGAACTCTTTTAAATCTGTTTTAAACTGCAACGGGGCACTGGAACCCCATCCTAAATCAATTAATTGGGGATAGAGCTTGGCAAACCAGGGTACCATTAGGCCTGAATACGATCCTCCCACCAGAAAAACCTTGGACTCTCCGAAATAAGTGGTATTGGCCTTTAAAAATCGAATTAAAGCAGCCACATCTGCCATGGCCTGAGGCGTTGATAGATATTTCAGAGATTTCAAGTTAAGGGATCTAAAAATGATCAATTTTATAATCAACTTTGTGATCATATATTTTTTCACTTCCCCGAACGCACTTTGTCGCCTTACTTTCTCCATAATAACGATGCTCGCTGTGTATCAGATATCCTCCATATCGTTTAGCCAAGTCGTTAATATAACTCTTGGTCAACATAATGTTGGAAGTATTGGTTGTATCTGATAAAATTGTGCCTTCACCGCCCATAAAGAAAAATATTGTACCATTCGGCTTAAAATAATCTTCCTTTACCATATATCTCTAAAAAAGTATTAAAGATATTAAAGCTATTTGGAAGATTAAGATTAAACAGAATAGTGTTACCATTTTAAAAGTTCTTGAATCCTTATGAAAGTGATCCAATTTTTGTTCAAACCATCTGAATTCAACGGTTTCTTCGCTGCCTTGAATGCAAACAATAAATATACTTAAGTAATACAACACTAATCTGTTGTTATACATTGCTGTTGCTACTGTGAACTGGTAAATACGATTTTTCAGCTTTATAAAGAGTAGCTTCAGCGTTTTAAATAACAATTTGATGCTTTGATTTTTCATGGGGAGAAATTGTAATAGGTGTATCTAATCATTACGCTGTTGTAAATAAAAGCTACATACTTAACCAAACTTAAAAATTTCTAAAGCAAAAACATATATCAAATTCCACTTATTTCCGATATTATGCAAAATAATAAACCTCTGCGTACAAAAATTTCCTAATGGACTTCCGTGCGATATTTTCAATTGAATTTGAATTCCATTTAATAGACAGATTCCTCAATGGGCAACTTCCTTCTTACGCTTCCGAAAAGAGCTCAACACGTGTTCCAAATAAAAAAGAAAACATCAATTCCTTGAGCAGTTCGATTTTAATTAGTCCCATCTCTCAGCCGGAAACGCCACTCCCTCAAGAAAGACAACCCTTGAGATACGGACGGGGAATTGCTGAACACTTGCACAACAAACACGTACCAAGTGCGGCTCAAAAGGGGCAACGAAGGGTTAACACCGGTGGCGGGAGTTTGTCTACTCCAGATAATAGACAGGAAAAGCGGAAAATTCGTGACACTACAAAGTGGTTTATAGGGTAGCCCAATTCGAAGAAGGAACTAATAAATATGCAGGCTCGAAATCATCAAAAGAATGGCGAAAGGATGTGCGTGTGGAGAAACTATTTGCATACTAATAAGAAGTGGGAAAATTCCCAAAGAAAGTTATTCTCCAACTTAGAAACTACCAATATTATTCTGATGTTCTAAAAGATTAGTTAGATAGAAATTAAATTTTTATCTTTCAATTCCAGGTCATCTTTTACGATTCGGACTGGAATCCCACCGTAGATCAACAAGCAATGGATCGGGCCCATCGTTTGGGCCAAACCAAACAGGTGACTGTCTACCGACTCATCTGCAAAGGAACCATCGAGGAGCGGATTCTGCAGAGGGCCAGAGAAAAAAGCGAGGTGAGTGATCGGGGGACAGGAAACCCTACCGAACCGCAAAACTCTTCAAGTTGCTCGGTTTTTCTTTTCCCTTTGTTGCCTCGCATATTAGGCACGTGCTTTGTTGGGAATAAAAAACCATCCTAAAAAACCCAGGCATTGTTGCGCCTTTGGGATTTACAATAAAAAACTGCTCAATGCGAAACACGAGCACTTGTAGTTGGGATTAAAATGGTTTGGGTTGGTAAACCAACACCGGAAATTAATTATACAATTGGATAGGCGACATTTTGGTTACGCCTTCTGTGTTCCCTATAAGTTGGAGTATTTCTTGTGCATTTATTGGCTTAATTACCGAAAACAGAAATCCCCCGATTACCATATGAAAGTATTTCGGGCCGACAAATAAATAGTTTAGGAAATGAGGGAACTCTTTGGGCGCTATCCCTGGTCTTGAACGAGTTTCGTTTCATTTCCTGCCTGGAATTTATAATTTTTATTCAATCGAATATTTCAGATACAACGCATGGTCATAAGTGGCGGCAATTTCAAACCCGACACACTCAAGCCCAAGGAAGTGGTCTCTTTGCTATTGGATGATGAGGAAATCGAATTGAAATGTGAGTAGATTAGAGATAAATATGGCTACGCATTATTTGAAAATTTAAATTAATTTATATTTATTTATTCTTTTGACATTAGATCGCCAGGAGGCCAAACTGCAGTCTTCTTCACCGACACCAACGGCCACTCAAGGCGAACGCAAAAGACGGCATCCCAATAAGGTAAGAACGATTTGCTGGCCCAAAGACGACAGGCTTGTTAAAGCCGAACGATCTGGGGGCCATTTCATGCATGATCCAGGCCGACTGCCTAATGGCTGTTTATTAGACCAAGTTTGCACTTGCTACACGACAAGTTTCGTCTGCGCTTCCTAATGAAAGTAAATGATCTTTTGAGTGAGGTTCAAATTGCGAGTGCGTCCATATACAGAGAGCAAAAGCGAGGCGAAGCCCGGCTCAGTTGTTCTTGGCCTATGGCATTGCAATGGTGGTCATGGTCACGTGATTCATGCAACATCACAGCACAGACACACACACATTCACAGGCAGGAACGGGCAACAAAGACAATTCAATTTGCTACAAAACTCAACTCATCGTCTTGGCTGGTCTTGGTCTGCTTCATAGCGTGCTTTGAACCTACTCCATGAGCCATAAGCCACTAGCACTTCCAGCCGACTATATTCATTCATCCAAGTGTCGTACACATTAAGAAAATGGTTAGCACTTTTATATGAATTGGGATATTATTTAAAGCACTCAAAAACATATCGAAAGTTCTACAAAAAAAAATGTTTATAAAATATTGGAAGTGTACTTAGTCCTTCTACGATAATTTCAATTATCTTTCAAAAGAAAAATCCTAATTCACTCTGGTAAAGTCTTATAATTACTAAAAATTGGTAACAAATCAAATTTTAAAGATACTTTTAAATACTTTTTTATATAGTCAAACGTTTATATCATATTTTCAACTTCCGTACTTCAAATATGTTTTCATTTTAATGAAAAACTCAACTTGCTATGTTTGTTTACGCCAGTGTACTCGTACTCCCTACCCAGATACTTCATACTTACTCTCCAAAGCAAACACTTTGCTTTTACCCTACTTGGACTCGCAGCCGCTGTCTCTCGGAGACTCTTTTAAAAAACAGTTTCAAGTGCTTCTTGGTTCGCTTTGGTTTGGATCGGATTGGTTCGGTTTGGGGTGCAGGCTCTACCATACTACCAACCACCTCCAAACTCGGGCCCTGACTCTTCTTTGTGCTTTGTTTTTGTTGGTTTCGCTAAATGATTTTGTGCGTTCAATGGAACACTGATTATGGTCTGGTGCTGCTGATGTTGCTTCTTCTGCCTTTGGCTCTGGCTCTGGGTCTTCGTCTTGGTGGCTTCTCTCCGTTTTTGGTTCTACGACCACTGGTGTTGCGCCTCCTTTTAGTTAGTCGGGTACTCGTACTCGTAGTCCACTCAAGTTCATATGCCACCAGCCGGCACAGTGCTATAAGGGCACGCAGTCATATCCCGAACCCCCTCGTCTCGGGACTGTCAATTCATTTACGGTCGGAAGTTCAAGTTTCCAATGCGCGAATAGTACTTTTCATGTTTTCAGGTTAAGTGCAGCCGGCGTCTTCCTTCCTTTGGGCCTTTCGATTCGAGAGAGCATTCATTTGGAACAGATTCTGCTGTGCAAGATTTGTGTCGCAGTTGTTTATTATGGAACGGTTTATTTTCTTTACTGATATAATGATATATAATTTGAGCGAGTGCTTTACGCCCAGTTGGTTTTATTGGTGGAGAAATTGTGAATTATTAAAATGAGAACTTTTCTGTTAATTCGGTTTTAATAAATACATATGTATGATATATGTTTGTTCTTATAATATGGTAAAATATAGATTAGATCATTCGTCAAACGGTCACACATGTTTATAGAATTTTGTTCTACTTATTTTCAATTATATTTTATAATATCTGAAACTACCACAATTTTTTCTCATTTTGCCTTAAACTTTAACAATTAATATCATTAATTTTTAAGCGATTTAACAAGCAGCTGAGTGCATGTAGGAAAATTGCTACTGTTTTCCCAGCAATTGACTATCAAAATCTCGGCAAAATGTATGCAAAACTCTTTACCCTACTTCCGAACAATTTCCTCAAGCATGGCAATTACTAGAGGCCCACCTTCAACCCCCGAAAACGTCCCATTTTTAACACTATCCCTTCGATTGACCAGCCCATAACTCAAGTCTTAGTTTTGTTCAAGTTTGGCATGAATGATTTTTATGCCGAACACTGGAAGGAGAGGGAGCAGAGATAACTTGGCATAAATTATAAACGGTTTAAAGGGGAGAATTCTTGGGCCAGTTAGAACGATACGAACGATAAGCAACCGTTGTAGGAGAAGACCAACAACAGATATATCTCATTTCCGTTGGCCATTAAAATGCTAATTGATTTGATTGTTACATTTGAGAATTAAGGTATAACTTTTTTATGATATTATTTTTATTGTCTTAGGATGTAAATATGGGTGGCACCACAATCGCGGCCACCTCGACCTCAACCCAACACCCCGACGACGATGTGCCCAGTTGCAGTTCGGCAGGAAAGCGCCTTAAACTGGAATCGGAAGAGGACTTTATCGATGTGGGCATTACGTCATCGGCCTCGAGTGTTGGCACGGATAGCAATCATCCGACGCTCAGCCAGGAAACCTATGTGCCGGGAGCAACCTGTGTCCAGCAGATGGACAACGATTCCGATAATGAGGCTCTGGTGGTGGATGGAGATAGCCCCACGCTGATGGGCCAAAACGAATCCATGAGTGAGTACTACAGCACTTTTTGGGAGGGATCCATAATAAAACGTTCATGTTATAGTAATTAAGATCACTATAGTTCCTGATTCACTAACCAAAGTTACTTAATATACTAAAAACTATCTGCAAACATTATTAATGGGTTATATCTCTATTATAAGAATTAAATCTTATTGTTTTTATTTTTTATTTAAAGTCTTAACGATGTGTGGCTGAAAATGCATGCCTATGACTTACCCATTAAACTTACAATGTCTAAAAGCATGTGGGTAGCAAATCGCAAAGACATCTCACATAACTTAAGCCTGATTCAAATGTTTTGCGACTTGTGGTTAGATTTCCCCCCCGGGAACGATCACTTTTTAATGATTAATAACTGAAATTATTTGGTAATCACCAGCAATATATGGAGGCAGTCGAAAATGTGGTCTACCACGTTAAGTTGCCTCAAACTGAGAGAGCATGTTGGTTGTTATGAGTTGCCAATTGCATGTGGGATGTGCAACGATTGCAGCTTGTTAGCTCATGCGATTTGCATTCGAAAACGATGGGGCAGCCAGGTGACTGCTGCAAAGCAGAAACATTTCAAATTTGTTTAACAATTAACCAATCGAAAGTACAAGACGTTGAAAAGTAGGCAACGAGCAAAAAGCAGCCGTAACAGCAACAAAAACTGATGTGAAATCGCGACAAGTGCAGCGTCAGCAGATCGAAGTTGCAAGTTGCAGGTTGCACGTTGCAACAGTTGCCAAAGGAGGAGGAGACTAGCAGCGAAACAGCTCCGATGGCATCTGTGACTTGACCAGTTTGTTGCCCGTTTGTTTGGCTGGCCAAATTGTGGCACACTCACTGATTGGCCTGCAAATTCGCTGGCAAACGCAACTAATTTTGCCTATGTCCCCGTTTCATCTTGTTACTGCAAACGCGCGTCGTTGTTGTTAATACAACCAGCTTAACTCCTGTCTTCGTCCCCTTCTTGGAAGACAGTGATGCCAGATTTTCGTTCGGAACAAACTTAATTAAAGAGAGTGGGAATAGAAAGGATTAGAAAAATTTAGGACATCGGATTAAATCGGATTTATTTAAGATCAACGGAAAAAAAAGGTAATTTGAAATTTAGTATTACTCATTTGTAGAAAAATTATGTAAGCTAAATCAGAAAATTTTTGTTTGTAGGATGATCAACAAGGAAAACTTTTTTTCGAAAAAAAAAATATGCTTGCGTTTCCTATTTCAAATGTTTTGTTACTCATTTATAGAAAAATTATATAGGATATATCAGAAAAGTGGATTTTTTGTGGGATGATCAAAACAAACAAATTTTTTCCGCATTTCCTATGCGAGATTTTCCAGACGTACGCAACCCAATTCAATATGAACGAAGTTGATTATGTTTGGTTCGCTTGTCACTTGGCGTTTGGTTTTTGTTTTGTATTCGGTTTTTGCTTAGCATTAAAATGCCACAAAAAGCCAAGGAAAGCCGAAGAAAGACGGAAAGAAAACAGAAAAAACCGACCGAATTGTGGCTCATAAATAATTTTTTATGTGCACAGGGCTTGGCCAAAAGACTTGGCTAATTTAATCAATGAGCTCACGTGTTGTGGCTACATAAATTGCCAATCCGAGCGGTCTTGCTCTTGTTGTTTTGATTTCGTAATGTTAACCGACATTTATTTGCTGTTTATTGCTAAGCCAAGAAAAATGAGAAATTGTCATGAATCCAGAGTTAGACATTCTACTGTTGTAATTCTTTCAAATCAAATACTTTTCTGTGATCCAAGCGTAACTAAATAATGTTTTACTCAACGCATTCCGCGGCCTGAATTACACTGCTATTAATATTTATTACGGGAAATTCTTTATAATTTAATCAATTAATCTAAACCCAGAAAAAATACTTATTTAAGTTACCTTCAAGATAACAAATATTAAAACTTGATAACTTGTAAAAGATATTTCTTAGATATTAACCCAGTTAAAAAAATATTTTCTTTTCGTGTAAAAAACCAGTGGATCGGAGGGGAGCCTAATGTTATACAGCAGGACTGTTTTTCTGTACGGCAATTGACCACATTTTTCTCTTGCCATCATTCAAATTTCCCAGTGCGTGCACAACTTTTTCCCATTGCGCTTCATTGCCTTGTGTAACACGGAGTGAAACAATTTCTTAATTGATGCCATTCAATGGGGACACGTGCCAAATGTGCAACTTTCACATAGACGAAACATAATGCAATGTAACTAAGGCGAAACACTAAACGCTGTCATTACTCCACCCGAATTAAATATTCATTAGCCCAACCCCGCGTAGATCATAAGATCCTTGTCCACTTTGTCAGCGGAGCTTGTGAGACATGAAAATAATTAAACCAAAACACTTGTTGAACATATACACACCCGTATATTGTTTAAATCGAAGCTCTCAGGGAACAGCGGCAAAAAAGTATCTCATAGAATACAAGTTAGCCATGAGATACAATTACTCTGCGAATCTTAGCAGCAAATCAAAACTGCGAACAAAAACTTTGATTGGCCACAAAAATTCACACAGACGAAGGTAATTACAAATCGAAAAAACAAACAAAAATCTATTCTCGAATGCCAATCATCCAAAGGCATACGAAAAATGTGCGTTTCGCTGAGCATTCTGAAGAATTCATGCATCAATTGCATAGGCTCGGTTTGCTAATGGTTCGATTTCGGCCCAACTTGCTTATAGCCCGGACTTGGCGCATAAATTTACACCTTATTGGCCCCCATAGCGCCCATAGCAAGTACGTGCCGCGGATCTCGGGTAACCATTCGATTTGGCCAATTGCAGTTGGCCACTTGTCAGCCGGCCGGCTCAAAGCTCTATAATTAAAGTGGTTTTGACTCAAATTGGTTAATCATATTTGCAATGTGAAAATGAAACGAATCCGCTTAAGGGGTTATATACCTTTTTTGAGCGAAAAAATTGAGGGAACTTTGGATTTTTTTTTTGGTGTGTAGCAATTATTTTATGACAGTGAAGTTATTATTTATTGATAGTACATGTTTTTATCGAAACAACAAACCTTTGTTCTTGAAAAAATATGAATAATTTACAAAGTTATGGCAATTCTTTCGGAACCCTTTTTTTTTATAGCGGCTTGCGGTGACCACGATGAAAGTCCAGCAGGTCAACTTATATCAAAAAACCAAAAATTTTTAGTTAGTATAGTATTATATCCACTTCGTGAACGATTATTTTTAAGAATATTTGCTTTTTTCAGCATACAGTAACAATTTTTCCAAAAAGTTGATTTTTCGAGTTCTAAAAATTTTATTAAAAAATTCTGATCTGCGAAATTAAAATTGGCGCATAAAAACTGAATCGTTCACGAACTCGGCACAATCATTACGAATAATTTAAAAAAAAATTGAAGAAGATCGATCGAATAGTTCTTGCGCAATCGTGGTCACAGCGAAAGCACTTTTGGAAAAACACGACTTTGAGATAATCGCATTCAAAGTTTTACGTTGACGTTGCAACTATTGAAGTCGAGCGCGTCAAAACGCTGTTTTCCTATCGAACTATTATTCGGATCTGCATGAAAATTTGGGAAGATGTTCTCTAGGGGATATACTTTAGGATTCAGCAAAAAAAAAAATTTCGTTTTTTTGAAAAAAAAAAAGGTATATAACCCCTTAAGAATTCGGCTTAGAGCAGAGTGCTTGGGCCTTGCATTGGCTGGATTTAAATGTGTGAATTTTTAATTGGCCATCGAGTAAAAAATGAAATAGTTGTGGATTGAAAATTTCAGCATTGATTGATTGATTGAAGCTATAAATATTTTAATTTGCATCAAAATTAAGAAAAACTACAATTTTTTTTGATATTTTCGTATTAATAATAATTCTAGAACTAATTTAAATTGGTAAAAAAAATTAAGAAAGTTACGCTTAAATATCCAATGAATATAGGAAGCTACTAGCTTCAAGCTACCCTACTGTAATTTAACGATCTGATGACGGTGGAATTTAATGCTAGAAACAACCGAAACCAAGAATAAAATAAGTGCCCTTCAATTACAATTCGCCGCCATTACGCACCCTTAATATTTCCAAAAAAAGAACATACTTCACGCCACTTGGTGTATGCCTTTTTTTAGTCATTCCTTTTTGGGGTGTTGCCCAGTCACTATATATATTTTTTTTAGACGAGGGCTCCACCAGGAAAAGGGAAGGCAGGACCATCTGCCATCGGGGTTTTTGGTCATTAGCTAAATGTAGCGTAAAATTGCTGGCGTTTCCGTTAGTTCGAGTCGCATCTGCGGTGTCAATTTCACACATGTTATGAACACTTTGCGGTCGCCACAGATTGATGACTCTTTCGGAAGGGAAGCCCAGAGTCCTTGTCCTTGTTACTATAGCTAATCCCCTGAAAAGTTCCGGCCCGGAAGTGTCCAGTGAAATGCTACAGCCAGTCGGGGACTTTTATTTAAAATTCATGTGGCAAAGCCAGACAAAAATCTCTGTGTGGCGGCGACAAGAAATCATGACAATGGCAGCAATGATGACCACTGGAACCCCATCAAAGGCAACTCGCTGCCGAAGACGATGATGAAGATGGGCGACACGGCCAACAGAGACCAGCCAGAAGGCGGAGACAGCGTTAGAAAGGCCAGAACGAGTATCGCAGGCATACGACAATCACCGGACAAAAAGTGCGATCAATTGCAATGCGCACCGAATTTCAATTGGCCGCAGGAGCGGACCCCATCGATCGTGGAATACAGTTGCTGCCGCAGCTTGCCGCATGCAGTTGGCCATCACCAATTGGCCAGGAAAGGAATTGGGTTATGACCTCGAATGCGTGTCGCCACGGGCAATGCCACAATGCATCTGCCTGGAGCCTCTGGCTTTCATTGAACCATGGACTCGTGATTGAGCCGTTTGGCTTTTCAGTGCGGCATAAAAAAAAGCTGCAAGTATCTTTTACATTTTTCAAGTATTGTGCCGAGCCCCGGAAAAATTGATTCTAAGGAATGTCTTTTTTCAAAGCAACAATTCTATTGTCTAACAAGAAAATATCTTCTTAAAAGAGGATTTGAATCCCGTTAATTTGGCCAAGAAAGTTGAATTTTTTACTTTTAGTAATCCTAGATTTAATTTTCAAAATTAATCAAATGTTGAAAATCACAAATTAATGGCAAGCAACCCTCGAATTAATAAGATAGAATTCCATGCCAAGATGTTTCTAGAAGTCGATGGAAATAACCAAAATCGTTCAATGAAAATTCATAAAAAAATCAAATTTAAGAGTAAACCCTTTGGACCTTACCTTGATCTTCGTAAACGAAATTCGAAAAATGCCGACCGCAAAGAGACTCCGGGCTTCGACGCAGGAGTGGTGCGATCGGAACTCCAAGCCCAAGGCTCCGAAAATCACTCCCGTCGTTCGCCCGGAACCCACGCGTTGGCAAAAGTCGGGACCCATGGGCCGTAATGAGTGGGCCAACTTTCACAGTAGTTATCAAGTGGATGCCATGGCCAGTGCAGCGTTACGTAATGAAAAAAGATTGAAGGGTGGCAGGCAAATTCAAGGCAGGTAAATGTCTGTCCTGAGAAAATTTAAATTATCAAAGAAAAAACGATTTTTTACCGGAAATATTTATTATATTTATAAGTGGTATTTTTAAAGAATGAATTAAGTTCTGAAAAATATTTACCATATAATAGGTATTTGTAATATTAATTTTTTAAAACAACCCTGATCTTTTACTAGAAATGGAAAGCGTAGCAATCCCTCTTCCGAAGAGGATGATAATTTTCTGCGAGAAAACACCCAGCGATTGAGTATGCCGCGTTGGCAGCGCAAAAAGCATAATCCATCGCCCCCTGAGAAATTTGCTTATCGACCTCGGCTCACTGGTCGAAGGACTCCTCGTCCGGAAAGTGGTAGACCCGTGGAAAAGCCAGCGGTTCCTTGCTGCTTTCAGCATGTGGATCTTGAGAATGAGTTCTGGGCCAACATGCGATTCCCAATCTCTCGGAAGGCCCTCATTGCCTGTCCCAGCAAGAAGATCTGTGAACTGTCCCGGCCACGAAAATTTCGAAGACTCCACTGCAAGGTGCCCACCAAATCGGATGATCAAATACCCAAACGCCGGAAAATGTCACCGCGTCAGTGGCGACTTCATCTGCAGCGTCTCGAATTTCTGTCTAAACCAAATCCACGGGTTTTGGCCGGTCTAATATGCTGCTGTTCATCCTAAATTTGAGAAGGAAAAAGATTAATCCTAAACTACAGATCCATTTACTGAAGATATAGGAATTCCTTTCTTTGTTGGTGGAACTGTAGTGTAGAACTATTCATTTTTCTTAAATAGAAAACAAATAAAAGGTTAATAAAAAAGTGTATAACCCTAAATAAAATAAATAATATAAGGTTTCTTTAAAAAGTAGGCCTCCTGAAGTCATTCGGGAAAGTTATCTGCTAGAAATCAGACAGTAATCAGACAATCGTAAAGCAACAGCTTCAAAATTAAAAAAAAAAAAGTGTAAAGTCCATATAAATTCATAAAAATGGCACATGAAATCTTAGGAACCTACATGAGCAAATTGAAGAGCGCAGAACCGTCGATAGCACCGGTAGACTCCTACAATAAATTCGAGCCGGAATCGAAGACGCAAGTGCGACAGTCACTGCCACCGCCCTCTTGGGTGGCATGGTGCGATCGCAACTCGAAGCCCGTGAAGCGTCTTAGGATTCGTGAAATCCGAAAGTTGAGCAAGTGGCAAAAGAATGGACCGATGTCTAAGAAGGACTGGAAGCATTTCTGCGCGTGGGCTGCATTCCGAGCAAGACCAAGGGAACCAGAGCTGCCAAAACCTGAGAAAATCCCCTGCTTGGCCAAATATTTGCCCTGCGGCCGAAAGAAGCGCCACCTGGACGAGGATGAGTTGCAGGAAAGGATGCTGACGTTGGCCAAACCCCGAAAGATCACCGAGAAGTATAATATGCAAGACCGACCGCCAACCTACTCCCCGGCGATCATTTGGGGCAAGCCAGCGCATCGCGATCCCGGTAGACCATTTGAACCCCCCCACGTTCCCTCCTGTTTTCCCCACGACGACCTGGAGGGCGAATTCTGGGCGCAGCTAAGGTTTCCAGTCCGACAGGCAGCCCTCTTGGCGAAGGTTTCGCCGCGCATCCTGAGTCTGGCCAAACCACGGCCAAATCCACCAACGCCGCACTGTCCCATTCCGAAAAAGATATTGGATCCTCTGGATGTTCCGCCGCCACCACGAAAGAAGTTCAGCAACAGAGCCTGGCGACTACATCAGATCCGACTGATATATCTGTCCAAGCCGGTTTCTAGGAACGAGTTGGATTACCTATTTTATAGAATTTAACAACCTGTGCTCTTTGTATTTGTTCAGGGCGAAATTTATTTATTAAAGTATTTTCTAAACTTCCTAAAAATTTAATTTTAATTAGTTAAGCCTTAGTTGACTAAAAAAGATGTATACAAATTATTTGAAAAGTTTTGGTATATAGTTATTTACTTTTTTTACGAAGTGATCCTAATATCTACTACTAACTAGGAAGAAATATTATATGATAGAGGAGTGAGTCTCCTATATCTCACCTTCTTGACACTATAGGGGCTGTAAAATGAATTGTTATTTTATAATTATTTTTAAAATCGGTTCTATACAAAATGTCCTGCTCAAGTAGGCGCCCATTCAGTTGTCAGTATCATTTTATATCTCAACGAGTCGGGAACTTTACTATTTTATTAACAACCTCCGCCATAAGAACACAAAAATTTCATATTTTTTCTATTAGATAAAGATTTGAACCTTTGCTAAATTTTAAGTGATTTTAAATCGTTAATCGGGTCACGTCACGATGAGTATCATAATGGATGAAAACAAGGCGAGCATCGTCAGCGAGGTGAAACCGCCGCCCAGTTGGGTGGAATGGTGCGAGCGGAACTCCAAGCCGATCCAGCGTCGTCTCTACCGGGAGAAGCGCTATCTGACCCGCTGGCAGATTCCGGGACCGATGAAGAAGGCTCACTGGAGGGACTTCTACGAATGGGCCGCCACCAAAGCCATGCCGAAGGAACTGCCGGAGCCGGTCAAGCAGCCCATACCCTGTTTTCCCAAGTACTTGCCATGCGCCAGAAAGCCACGTCAAATCGATCCCGAGGAATTTCAGGAGAAAGTTGCCAAGTTGGCCACTCCGCTGGAACGGAAAATGACGCCGAAGCACGAGTACATCTATCCGGTCCATCCGTATTCCCCGATAATTGTCTGGGGACAGCCACCACTCCATGACAAGGGGCGACCCTTCAAGCCGCCCACAAAACCCTGTTGTTTCTTCAACGCCGACATCGAGGACAAATGGTGGGCCGAACTGCGCTTTCCCATCCGAAAGGCCGCGCTCAAGGCCAGGATAACTCCCCGCATTCTCAGCCTGTCGAAACCGAAGATCACTCCCCAGTTTCCACCACATTGCTATCACCCGGATCATATCTACGATGTCCTGACTGTCAAACCGCCTCCGCGGAAGAAGTTCACACCCCAGGGATGGCGCCTTCACCAGATCCGATTGCTATATCTTTCCAAGCCCGTGTCGCGGCCCGAATACGAGTATTTTTATATGTGATTTAATGTTAAATGGCGTCAAAAGTAACTGTTTTCAAGTGTTATACGATTTCAAATATATGATGTCGTAAAAAATAGCAGCGATTTGTTCTTAGTTTTAGAAATATATGTTTTTTAATCAGTACAAACGTTATATTTCAGAAAAAATGTCTACGAAATGCCGTTTAATTGTTTATTTTTAATGTTACACATTTAAAAAAACTAAACTAAACTAAAAACTAAAATAAGATAGTTCAAAGCTTAAGTTTAAGACAAGCTTCGAACATAAATCCAGCTAAAATAGGTCTTATTCTACGGATGCAATTCTCTCCAAATCACCGTCGACTTTGGTAAATCCGTTAAAAAATTAACAATTTCCCACAGATAAGAATCGCAATTTATTCGACTTTTTATGGCTTACAGTAGCCGGCAATAACAACAGCGAAATGTAATCTAAGCCTGCAAATCTGAGGTGGGCCCGGTGGTGGCCGGGTAAAGAAGTGCCAAGGAGCCAAAAGATCCAGAGAGCAACTTAGTCATGGCCGGCGCATTACAGTCAAAGGTGAGGCCTTTCGGGCCGTGATTCCCTTCTTTCACTTCGTTTATCAGGCGTAACAAACATGCGTCACATTGACTTTGGCACCGGGCCCAGGGAGCTAGGATCAAGGTTCACAAATGATCATCAGTCAAATCAATTAGATAATTGAATGAATGATTTGTGAAATCCGATTATGCTCGCCGGATTCTTGATTCTCTCTCGTTTGCTGCCGGGCTGAGCTTACTTCTTTGCCGATTATTTTTTTTTACTTCCCGCTTCTTTTTTTTTGTCATATTTTGCTTGCTGCAGTTTCGTTGTTGTTATTTCTTTTGGCCTTTCGTGTCGATTGGCAATATGGAGAGGGCCCCAGACGAAGTAAATGTAACCGACAAGCAGTAGCAAATCAAACAAAAGCGAAAATATTTATTACAATCATAAATGCAACTGGGGCGAACGGAATACTTGCTATTGATAGTAGAGGCTGAAGTTCGGTGGGTGGGTGTACAAGAGGCGTAGTGTCAAAGGATTTTTTGGAGAACTTCTGATGGGCTAGTTAGAGTCCTTTCGGCTTGGTTAGAAACGGTAGATTTTAAAACTATTCATTTTATTTATGTATAATTAAATATAATGTAAAGGTTTAAAGTATGTAGAGTTTTAATCAAGTAAAACAAATGTATTGTACTAAATTTATTAATTTGTTGGTTAGGGTGTATAAAAGTGCTCTTTAAATATTAACATCGTAATAATCAAAATTCCTTAATATTTTCTTAGTAAATCTCCCTTACCTACGTTTTTCATAAAAAGCCATTCTTAACCCCTCTTTTCAGCTGTCATTCCCTAATCATCGAGCCTAACCCTAGCTAGACTTCATCCATCAAGCTCAACATTTTCATTGTGCCTGGTATTTTCCAGCAATTCCCCTTGCCCCTGGTTGACAGCTGAATTATGCTAAAAAGCGAAACTTTGGTTCTTTTTGGTGTTTTTGATGTTTTGCTGCAATGCCGCGACGTTTGACCGAAATACATGGCAAAAGCAGCAACAAGCCAAGAACAAATTGCCAAAAAAAACCTCTTCTGGGCTGTGTGAATTGCCTTGGATTGAATATTATTGATAAAACTTATGGCTGTGGAAATCCAAAGTTTAGTTCAATAATATTGCATTGCCGTGGTTCAAGTTGTTCTCGTTCTCGTTGTAACAGTAAAAGTAAACCCTATCATTAAAAGGAGACAAACTGCTGTGGGCCTCTCTCTTTCATGGCTACAGAGTTGGGGACAACACACCACCGTGTATCTTGTAGACAATTCCTCTGGCGACTGTCGATGGCGATGATCACTGCACCGACTAGACAATAATGGCGATCTCATCAAGTGATGATCATCGATCGATGGTAGCCCATGATGATGATGATGCTGTTGGCACTTGTGTGCGTTGCATACCGAAATAGCTGAGCGCCAGGTACTGTCGCCAAACACCAGACAAGATACACTCGTACCTAACAACAACTGGGGAAATAGAACCAGTAGAACAACAACATTGTTGTCTGACAATGTTCGTCTGCCCGCTGATTGCAACTTTTTTTCGAGCCCGCCGTTGTTTATTTGTTTGTTGTCTCTGTTTTATTTATACAATTTACAGTTAAGCCGTCTAAAGTCGGTGACATATAACAATTGAAATATATATGGTTAACCCTAGAATTTGCGATTTCAGCAACATTTTTTTTACTTTAAAAATTTAAGAACATTTTTAAAATTTATGAAAAAAAATGTCGAAAAAATATTTTAATAATTCTTTACGCCATGTAATTTATTTCTTTAGTATATAAAAACATTTTTCTGTTAGCCAGACAGAACAAGTAGTTGAATGCGGATATCCGTGGGTTAAGAATTCCATGTAATATGGAAATATGGCACTTCGCTTATTTTTCTTTGGCATTTCGGTGAAGTCTGGGCCACGATAAAAGTTGAACTTGTTTGCTGCTGCCATTGTCTCTGGGGCATAAAAAGTAACACGTTAAATGCGCAAATATGGTCATGGCACAAATAACGATGGTTGGATAGGATAGGATGGATAGAGTGGGTGCTGGCGGCGCTATAGAGATCTCTGTAAGGAAACCCAAGAAGGGATCCCCGTCAAGCAGCCGTCCAAAAAACCCAAGCCATCCCCATTAATTAAGCATTTGGGTTGGCGAGCCATAAAATTGTGGTAAATGTAACGAAACTCCCAATTTTAATGTTTGTTTTTTGATATATATTGGGCCAGATGTTTGTGGATCGGGCCCAACCGCAATTAATCAATACCAAGTCAGCTATAAATTTCTGTTCTCCTTGCAGACTTCCTCGGCGACCTGAGCGGCATTTCGCCGATGCGGCGACGTCACCACCCGCGCGGCACCAAGCGAGGACGTCCAAGGGGCAGCACGCGGCGCGGCGGCGGACACGGCTCTATTCCGCGCGTGCTGACGCCGACGCAGACGGCGACCGCAGCGGTACCGGCCACGCCGACGCAGGCAGCGGCGGGAATAGGAGCGGGAACGGGAGCGTCTTCACCCCTGCCGCAGCAGGAAGTTAGTGGCGGTGGCGACAATGTCGGCGTCCCGCTAAGCGAAGAAGGTAAGCACACTCGTAGAAAATATGTGTTAGATTGTTAGGAGAAAAAATTAAACATGGCAGAGCATTTTTTTAAAACTAATTTATAATTTCAGTGATTTTATAAAACTTTTCTCGTTTTCTAGAGAATAAAATTATAGCTCTTATTGATGAAAAAATATTTAATTTATTTAGAACAAAGAAATGACTTCTACTAAATTTTAAATATTATTAATTATAGTTTTTGTGGCTTTAAATTAATATGAATTCACAGCAGTTTTTCAAGAAAATATTAAGATTATATACAAAGTTGAAAAGAATTTTAAGATAAGACAGTTACAAAGTCGTTTCTTCAGTGAAAGTTCCTTCCCTTCCGACACGCAACTCAAACTCCACAAGAAAGAACCCCTTTAAAAGGATTTCCCCCCTCTGTTGAATCGAGTGTCACTTGTCGCTAATCGCTTGTCATAATCACGTTTATCGCTGCCTTTTACCGGAACAAGTATTTTCGGGTACTCAATGCCCTCCCCCTGTGGTGGTTATTATCTCCATATTGCTTTGTGGTCGATCTACCGGTCCCCCTTTCGTTTTATTCATTTTTATTTCTTTTGGATAAGTCTCGATTACAGCCCGCAGGAATATTGCCTCCACTTTGTGGTACGTGACAATTTTAACGCAGTACCAGGCGTTTTTACATTACACAAACATTTTCAATAAGGCCCCCCCTTAAAGTAAATACATCCAGATAAAACTTTCTTAAAAGTGCTCCCCTTTTCAGTCGCATGCAAGTCAGGCCAAATATTTGCTTAAAGATTTACATCTGGCTGCATTATCACTTCCCCTTGTCACTTCCGCACATTTCAAATTGACTTGTAGAAATGGAAAAAATTACAACTAATTTGGACATTAATGCCTAGAGCATTTCCATGAACACGTAACATCGCATAGATTGTTGCCAATTTAATTCATTATTCCTCAAAGCAATTCGCATGTGTGACATGGTAAATTTCCCAAATTTAAAGTCAAACAAATGCCGATTTAAAGGGAGAAAAATACTGCAACAATGTGGCAATTTTCAGTTGAATTTTCAGGCGCACGACAAATGATAATTGAATAAATCCGCTTAAAATCCCAGACGCCAGACGAGGGGAGCGGGGAACGGGGGGCACACGTGACAGGAACACGTTTCTGTGCTGTTGGCCGAAAATGGAGACATAATCGCAATGGCAAATACGCAACGTTGCATAAATTAAACTTGGCCAGAATGTTTTTGGGGGGACTTTTGGCAATTAAAAAAACCACAATTGCATGCATTGCAGGGACAAACGAGTAAATGCGAGGATACGATGAAACGTGCGGTGACAAATGCCTGTGGAATTAGCAAGAAAGTTGCTTATCCTTTGTTCAACTTGATCTGCTCGTTTTTCATTCAACTAATGGAATCTGAACGCAGTTGTATTACAGCTTTGGTTGGCAGATGCAACCGTTGTCCTTGGAATTTTTTTTGTAGTTTTAAAAGATTTTTCATTTTTTTAGAATATTTAAACAGGATATTTAAGCTCTTAAAATAATTCAATTATCTTTTTAGGTAATGGTAAATTTTCTTAGTTTAAAACTGTGTTCTTATGAATGAAATCTTCTTCTTTCCGTAGACTACGGATCCAGTCCCTCTGGACAATCGCCGGGAATGTCCTGCAAACGCGGACCAGGACGACCTCGTTCCAAGACCGCCACGCCCATTAGTCGGGGAACACGCGGAGCTCCTCGTGCCCGCCGTCCCATGGGTCCGTTGTTGGTGCCTCTGGGTCGAAGTCCAGATGCCACGCCCCCCAGCAGCAGTCCGGCCAACAGTCGGGCGCCCAGTCCTTCAACAGGATCTCATGCCGGCGGCGGTCAGGAGTAGTTCGATGAAGAAATATAACTCTATTTGAAAGACTAAACATAATAAAAATCAATATATCTGTTAACGAGATTT